TGTGCAACAAATAGTTTTGAGTGGAATTGTACCAAGATATATAGATAGAATCAAAACAAGTTCTCTCTCTCTCTAGTTTAGTGGATCTTCAATGGTGAGAGTTGAGGCTTTGAGAGGGTTGTGGCATGTATGAGGGAGGGTGGGAACAACAAAGATGAGCCAGTTAATGGTGGTTAACGATGGCAGATGGGGTGGTCGAAAGGGGCAAAGGTGACCGTGGTAGTGGTATTGATCGCAGGAGCTGCAATCCACATTAAAAATGCATTCTGGAAGTATAAAAATAAAAAGACAATGCAACAACAGGTAACCTTAACCCTACCATGCATTCTAGAAGTATAAAGGTTTAAATAACGAAATGACAGAATTCAGTTTGTTCTTATTTAATCAGTGCATGCAAATTGCTGTTAATGCACACAAATTATGAAAAGGAGAATCAACCAACAATAACAAAGGGTTTTTCCCAGTTGTTAGGAAATACACACAAATTTAAGACTTTAACGGTAGCTAAGCTTTCTGATCTTCTTTTGTCATTGCCATCAGCCGAAGCATGTGTCCCCCAACCACAAGAGTCATCAACCCGATCCACACGAACACAATGATAACTGACAAAGGTCTAATTGTCTCAGCCTTATCTATTGGTGTTGTAACCGTTATGGAAACGTAATAAGTGATCGACAAAGACGTGGTAGCAATCCACATGATAACCATCATAATCCATGTGGAACCACGATGCTTCAAGAAACGCAATCCGCTAATAAGCAACAAGATGATGCTAAGAGTCGAAAGAAAACCCACCGTGTTGCTAATCAGAAAGATATGATGTAAAACTGGATGATTGTTTGCCATGACAGCATACCCAGCGTGTCGGGGTGGAATTGCGTCAGGCTTGTCTTCTTGCCAAACACCACTCGGAGGATTAGTACCTACTTGAAAGGCCATGGTTGCTATGAATGATGCCACAACCATCAAAGTGTTTTGCTTCTTGTCCAACCAGTCATGTCTATTCTTTCGGCTCAAAGGCGGGAACAGTTTCTTATAACCTGACCACATTTCGCTTATCCAATTTTGAGGAATTTTTTCTATCAAACCTTCTGTTTCAAGCTCAACAGCATCTGCTCGTTTTAGGGATCGTATGATTTGTCGATCTTTCACATCTTTTGGACCTTGAGCCAATATATCCGTGTATGTTTCCCCTTTTGTGTTTGATGCATTCACTTCTATTGTTGTATCAAGTAGCAAGAAGTTTATGGTCTAACATATATTCAAAATAATGAATTAGTCATAATCGATAAACAAATCTTGCAAGTACGAAATAAAAAGGTAATCTTTTTCCCAAGAATTATAATACCTCAATTTGTTTGTCAGCCACAGCTAGGTGTAGTATATTATTGCCATCACCATCCTTAGAATTTACAAACTCATGATCACCCATACTCTCCACCAACAACTTCAAAACCTCCAGCTGGTTATGCTTCACACACAAGTGCAAGATGGTCTCCTGCTCCACCATGGCCCTAGCTGCATGTGGTTGAGCTTGCAGCAGCTCTTTCACAACTTGATAACGTCCTTTAATGGCTGCAAGATGGAGAGGGTTTCTCCCATCACGATCACGTGCAAGGCACGTCTCAGGGTGAGCCGATAACAACGCCTTAACTATTTCCACGTGCCCCTTTGCAGATGCTATATGAAGGGGCAAGCGCCTTTGTGAATCGGACTCTCTGGCAAGCTGCGGCTTTCGGCTTAGGATCTCGTTGACAAAGTCAAAATGTCCAAGCATTGACGCAACGTGTAGAGGCATGTCGTCACAACGGTTTACGGTAACTCTATCAAGAATCAGTGGATCTTCTTGAAGCAATGTTTGCAAGAGGGTTACATTTCCTTCTACGGAGGCATAAAAAAGAAGTCCCTCCACTCTCTCCATGTCTCAAATGTACAAAACACAAGAAGGTACTCAGAACACAAAAAGTTTAGATTAGATCATGCTATTTTATACATGAGCGCCGTCTCTGCTTAGAAGATTTTTCTTAAGTTGTTGATTTAGGAAGGTGGGGATGTAATTCCACTTGACCTTTTTTTTTTTTGTGTCTTCATTTGGAAAAGTGGATAATATTTTAGACGTCTTTATCTAATTCGTGTCATGTGGAAATTCTACGTAGCTGCCATTTTGGATACCACTTCCTGTTTTAGGAACTAGGTTAGAAATGTCATTTGGAATATGGATTTCACACTTCCATACTTCTAATAAATAAGTAATTTAGGAGACACGTGTCACTTTTTGGTAAGGCGGTTATCTTGTTTTCTTGCCTAAACATGTGTATAGACATAATTTATATTAGTGGTGCAATTAGAATCATTTGAACGTATCTAGACACAATTTACATTAATAGTTCAATTATACTCATTTCATTGACATATGTCCTCTTATTCAATCAATCCCACTAATTTCGGATGTAATTGATTCTATTCTTGGTTTAATTAATTTGTGTGGTAACTGATTCCCAAAAAAATGGTGTTTATTTCTAAGTTTAAATTCAATTTACTGATATCGTTTCATTTCTAAATTCAATTTTATTCTAGGGTTAACTTAATTTTATTTTAAATTCAATTTACTGAAAAGTTTATTTCAGAGTTATTTCAAGAGAAAAAGTCTGAAGTCATTCTTCAGAGTTAGCTCATCCGAACTCTTAATTTTGCTTTTTCAGACATAGCTCACCCGAACTCTAGAGTCTGAATTTTGAAGTCTTTTTTTAAGCTTAGAAAAAGAAGTCTGAAGTATTCTTTTTCAGACTTAGAAGTCTGAACTCTGAAGTCTTCTACAATTCTGAAGAATACAAGTCTGAAGAATTATTCTTCAAAGTTAACTCACCCGAACTCTGTAGTCTTCTTTTCTAGACGGAGCACCATGCAGAGCTTCTGGCTTGCCTATACAGAGCTTTGAAGTCTGAAGAGTTTTACTTTAGAGTAGTTTTAAGAGTACAAGTTTTGTAATAAACTTATCTAGATTTGAAGATAACTCTTTAAGACTTAGACTTAGTCTTGTAAGCTAGAGCCCCTCTGGTTGGTCTGGCTTCTGGATGGCTTTGCTTCTGGTTGTTTATTTGAACCTTAGAAAAATATTCTAATCCATGATAAAAGAACCAGGTGGGCTCTGGTTGATCTTTATGTTTAACCAGAGGGTCCTTGGTTGTAATTGGAACTCAAATTTTTTAAGTATTTAACATTTTTTTGATCTAGAGGTTCTGGATAGACAAACTAGAAGCTTTGGTTGACCATAGGGGCTCTAGTCTCTGGTTGACTAGAGGGCCTTTGGTTGGCCTTGCTTTTGGTTGGTTGACTAGAGGAGCTTTGGTTGATCTTGTTTTGTATGGTGCAATACAGAGTATTTTTTCACATATATTGGGTATTTGAATAATTCTGAACACTAGGTCTTAAGACTTCGTCTTCAGATTTGACACATACGCTCTTCTAAGTTTAAATTCAACTTACTGATATAGTTTCAATTCTAAATTCAAATTTATTTTAGGGTTAACTTCATTTTAACTAATTATTGATATAGTTTAATTTCTAAATTCAAGTCTAAATAGTCATTCTTCATAGTTATACTTCAGAATTATTTCAATGGTACAAGTCTGAATTCATTTCTTCAGAGTTTTATTTCAGAGTTATTTCAAGAGTACAAGTCTGAATTCATTTCTTCAGAGTTATTTCAAGAGTATAAGTCTGAAGAGTCATTCTAAAGAGTTAGCTCACCCGAACTCTGAAGTCTGCTTTTTCAGACTTAGCTCACCCGAACTCTAGAGTTTTCTTTTTCAGACTTAACTCACCTGAACTCTGGAGTATGAACTCTGAAATCTTCTTTTCCAGACTTAGAAGTCTGAACTCTGAAGTCTTTTTTTAGACTTAGAAAAGAAGTCTGAAGTCTTCTTTTTCAGACTTAGAAGTCTAAAGTTTTTTTTTTCAGACTTAGAAATCTGAACTCTGAAGTCTTCTACAAGTCTAAAGAGTCATTCTTCAGAGTTAGCTCATCCGAATTCTGAAGTCTTTTTTTTCAGATTTAGCCCACCCGAACTCTGAAGTCTGAACTCTGAAATCTTTTTTTCAAACTTTGAAGCCTGAACTCAAATTTAGTAGGATTGATTTTATACTTCAAAGTTATTTCAAGAATACAAATATAAAGACTCATTCTTTTAGACGTCTTTATCAAATTGGTCCACAATCATTAAGACATGATGGATTAATGGAATCAGAAGTGAAACTGGAACCTTGTTATACAAAATGATCCCTTTCTATATGTGGAAATAATTCAACAGGGCATGTTTATTTTGTCCTTTTTGACAACTTGGTATTTGACTGAATAGCCGCCACTTTGAATACCACTTACTATTTTAGAAACTAGATTAGGAATGTGGATTTCACACTTTTATTTACAAATTAATTTTATTAAATTATATTTTTATATATGTTTAAACTGTCAAAACGAAAAATTCTATATCAAAATGAATATTAAATCGAAAAGGATAAAGCTTGTGTTTTTTTTTATTTTAAATCTATTGTTTTAAAAATAATTTAGTTCAAAATTATGGTGATAAACGATTTGTAATTAAAATAAAAGGTAGAGAGGCACTTGGATTGCAATTGCAATTTGATTTTCATTTCCTTAACCACTAACTATTCTTCTAATCCTCATATATTGATTAAAAGTACTCAAAAGTTAATATTGGTTTCTAGGTTCTCAAAATATTTGTGTTTCCTATTTCAACCCCCCGCCCCCACACACACATATATACACACACACACACTAGAATGATACTCGTGCAATGCATCGAGACACATCTCGATTTGATTGTTTCGCTTTATTCTTTTTTTATATCGATATAATACGGTTTCATTTGGTTTTAAAAACGCGATAATATTTTTAATTTTTAATAAAATATAAATTTGAAAATATAATAAAATTGTGGACCGACACCTTAGAGCGATGGAATTTCAGCCAGGTGATCATGTTTTCTCTAAAGTTTCTCCATTACGGGATACACGTCGTTTTGGGAGTTAAAGGAAAGCTCAGTCCACGTTATATTGGACCCTTTGAAGTTCTAGAGCGAGTTGGTGAAGTAGCATATCGTCTCGCATTACCTCCGCAGTTGGCTCATATTCATAATGATTTTCATGTGTCGACGATCTGTGGTTACCGATATCATCCATTGCATGTCATTGACTATCCGCTTAACAAGATTGAACCAGATTTATCTTATGTTGAGGAACCCGAAGCTATTATCGGATGCGAAGAAAGAAAAATGCGTCATCGATCAATTCCATTCGTTAAAGTCCTATGGCGAAATCATTCTGAAAGTGAAGCGACATGGGAGACAGAGAAATCAATGAGAAAGCAGTTCCCGTAACTTTTTGAATGTATATAAATTCATAACTCTAACTCGATTTCAGGGACGAAATCTTTTTAAGGGGAAAATAATTATAATACCCCATATTTAAAAAATCTAATCTTATAGCTGAAAGCTCAATTATGTTCAATTTTTAAATCATGCTTTGTTGACTTGTATCTTAGTATTCAAGAGTTGTTTATTAAGGCAAGTTCTTTTTATTTTTATTTTTTTAAGTTTCATTGTTGGTTGAAACAATCTTGATTAGGACCAAATTGTAAAGGAATTGCTAAAGTAGGGTAATTTGAGATTAAGTTTAAGATCAAGGGTTAGATGGTAAATATTGTAATTATATATATGATTTCATTATTTTTTTAAACCCAAATCAGATTTCTCTTCATTTGATTTTCTCATCCTTCTCTCTAAAAACCCTAAATTCAACTATAAATCTCAAATCTTTTGTGGAATTCTAAGATCTTTGAAGATTGTAGGTTATATTTGGAATGACGCGAGCATACATTAGCCATTAGTAAGAAATTTTCATATATTCAGTCAAAACCAATCCAATAAAGAAACAAATCTATTCAACAAGCAAAAAAGGAGCCTTTCCTGCGCTAGGACTCAAAGTAAGGTATGTTTATGGTTTGAATTTTTTGTGATTTCTTCTTCTTTGGGGAAAATGGGTTAAACCCTAAGTGTATTCATGAATATAGGTGAAAGATTGATGATTTGAGTTGGAATTTCTTCAAAATTGGTGCTGTTGGATGTGACAGATTCAATTCAGTAACCCGGAAGTAGAGAACCGTTCATAAACCTCAAGTCTCTTGTGACTATTTCTAACACTTCTAAGTTACGAATATCAACATTCTTTCAATACGTAAGTAATCAAATGTAGTGATTATCCATTCCGCGAAATCTTGATTTCGGTATTCATCCACAAAAGTGGAGGTTATCAAGATGTTATCCGTAATCTTTTGTGTTCATGAGATGTCTTGTTTTAAAGACTTTGTATGCTTCAGACTTCGATCCATTATCGGTGTATTCTATGATTCTTGCCAATAAATTTATTTGGAAGCTTCATGGTTTTATTATTTTGGTTATCCCATGTTAAGTTATTGATATGATTAAGGAGTTTGAGTTTAAGGTTATTGAATTTAGTTATGACTAGGCTCAGTCCTTGGGGAACAGGTATTGTGATGCCTCCATGACGGCTAAAATAGTCATGGCATTCTCATAAGGGTTATGGCCAAGCCAAATAAAGAATGTTGGATGCATCCTTGAACCGAATACCATGTACCATGGTTACGGGATAAAGTCGAATACCAATTACATTGGTTACCAGATAGAACCGAATATCATATATCTTTGGTTACCGGGGAATGAGATGGTGTGGTGCCCAACACTTCCATTCCATTAGGACACCTAATTGGACTGATTATACATCGAGAACAACGTATCCTAATGATAGGGATGACCTTCTTACCTTTATTATTTATTTATTTATTATATAAGCTTCAATTTTAGATATTTACACTTAAATGCATTTCAACTTTTATCGTAATGTTTTCTTGCATTTACTATTTTATCTTGTAATTATAATGTTATTATTCATTCACTGGACAAATTTTGCTCAGCCGAGGTTTGTTTTGTTTTACCTCAGCAGGTTCAAGATCTAATCCGAGGGCAGCATGAACAGTCGAGATGACTTAGGATGCAGAAAGTGTAGTTTTAGATCAGTACTTTTGCTATGTAAATATGTTAAACATATGAATACTATTTGGTTGTAATGTAATCTTTTGGGAGTTATGTTAAAGCTCTATACTTTGATCTATATGTTTTTGATCCGTTTTCGGTTGTGTCACGCCTCATCTTAGGTCTTGTAAGATGGGGGTGTTACAAATTATTTTACTCGTGCAACGCAGAGAAATATATCTTGATTTTAATATTTCATTTTATTCTTTATCTCTGTCGATGTTATAATATGGTTTTATGTGATTTTGAAAAAAAACGATAAAGTTTTTATTTTTCAATAAAATATAAATTTGAAGATATCATAAAATTTGACTAAAATATATCGATATTAGTATCAAATTAACTATTTAAAATTTCTCATTTTTTGTGTAATTTTTTAATTTAATTTTTTTATTATAACTTAATTAAGGTTCAATAACGAAGTGATTTATATTTGGTTTAATAATATAATTTTCTTATAATGATAATAATTAATTATTTTGTTAGATCTTGATAATTATTCTAATTATATTTTAGCTTTTTTAGATTTTAAAATGGGATGTTTATTCTCTATTTGATTATGTCTATCCGCATTTAGTTACACGAATTCAAACATGGAGCTTTAATAAGTTGTACTTATGCATAATTTTTTTCTTATAAAAATAATAATTTTTTGTTAGAATTTGATAATTATCCTAATTATATTTTAGATTTTTTAGATTTTAAAATGAAATGTTTATCCTCTATTTGATTATGTTTATCCGCAATTAGTTACACGAATTTAAAATGAAGCTTTAATAAGTTGTAGTTATGTATAATTTACCTGTAATCTTGAGTTTTAAGTAATATGTATTAATATACAGTACTTTATGCATAAAAATGGTTTTTAAGAGTTTTTTTGTCAAATGCTTTATAATATAATATATATATACATATACATACATAGGGAGATATTCATTTGAAAAGTAAAAAAGTGATCCTAGCTTTCATACGGTCATGATTTGCGATTTTGACTAGTCAAATGAAAAATAGAGAGATAGTTTCGTAAATTTTACAAATAGGTGACAAACAAATACGTATGTGAACGCATAAGTGCATTATATGAACCCATAATTTATATGTGAACCAGTTAACTAGTTCATATATGAATCAATTAATTTGTTCATATATGAATCACACGGGTTCATATGAGAATCAGTTAAATAGTTTATATGTGAAATACACGAGTTCACATATAAATATATCGTTCATACTAGGTTCGACCCCGTGTATTACACGAGGTATTTTAAATGAGGAAAACTTTGCACAATAACTCTGAAAGAAAACTTTTAACATTAACTCTGAAACGCAAGAATTCAGAGTTCTATTGTTAGGCTGGAAAATAACTTTGGACTTAACTCTGAATAAGAGGAATTCAGAGTTGTCTTCTAAGTCTAGAAAGTATCTATGACCATAACTTTGAGTCACAAGAATTCTGACTTCTTATAACTCAGAAACGTAACTCTGAACTTCAACTCTAAAGAGTAGTTCAGAGTTGTATTCTAAGTCTGGGAATAAACTATAGAACTAAGTTTAGAACAGAACAATTCAGAGTTATGTTGTAAGTCTGAGAAATAACCAATATCTGATGACTTCATGTTGGTGATTTGTAGCACTAATATCATTTACGTGTAATGAGAATAATTTGTTGTCCAATGTAATCATGATAAATATCGAACAAGTAAGGGAGGTGCGGAGTGCACACTTGTTTGAGTTTATTTTGATTTAGGGGCGAAACCCTAAACGACGGGGGTACGGGGGCAGTGCCGCCGGTGGCGGGGTCCAAGGGGAAGATCCCCTGGCTGGGGTCGAGCTGACCACTTCAGAGTTAAATTCAGACTTACAACTCTGAATCTTTTTTCGGGTAATATTGCTTTGTGAAAAATGCTTCAAAAATCCGAATTTGAGATTTTAAACCCGGTTGATGACCACTCCAGAGTTAAATTCAGACTTACAACTCTGATTTTCCGAGATTTTCATACTTGTATGTCTTACAAGTCTGGAAGACAACTCTGAGTTTTAAACTGAAGAAAAGGAGTTCAGACTTGTCCTCAGACTTTTATACTGGTATGTCTTACAAGTCTGGAAGATAACGCTGAATTTTAACTGAGGAAAAGGATTTAAGACTTGTCCTCAGACTTTTATACTGGTATGCCTTATAAGTCTGGTAGACAACTCTGAATTTTAACCGAGGAAAAGGAGTTCAGTAAGTCTGAGGAATGGAAATCCAGACTTTTGCTTACTTAAGTATTTGATAGAAATCCATTTTCATACGATAATTAGTTATGTTTACATGGACAGATGTCAATTAAATAGGCCCATTTGAACCAATAATGTAACTTGTGTCTACATATATGTTCAACATTCAGACTTCTAAGTCTGGAAAAGAAGCCTCTAGATTTAGGAACTATAGAAAACATATCAGAGATTTCTAATTAGTCTGGGAAATCAGTTAAACCATGAAAACAGGAAAATAAACGTGTAGAGGGACAAATGTCACTTAAATAGACCTATTTGAACCGTAAGTGAAAATTATGTCTAGATACATGTTTAGGCGGGAAAAATCAATATCCGTTGCACAGAAACATGACACGTGTCCCCAAAAGTTACTTATTTATTAAATGTATAGATTGGAATCACATGGGTTCAAATATGCACTTGTTTTGCCCCCTATTTGTAAAAGTTACGAGACTACCCATATATTAAATACAAGGGTATTTAAGTAATTTGTCATTTTATGTAACTCCCAAATAATTAATTGGGAGTTACAAATTTGAAAATATCACAATTGATCATGATGCAATATTGACATTGGGGTTTCACACGTGTTCATGTTCTATAATTCACATTTATTTTAATCGACAATTCTCATCTTTGACATATGAACACATCAGAAATCACACAGCCTTAGATGTCATGATTCATAAGTGTTCATGTATATTCAAGTCACTAGMTGTTCATATGAATACATACACACACACACACAAAACATGTGAACACGTATGAAACACACACAACCCTAGATGCCTTGGTTCATAGGTGTTCATATACGTACAGCAGAATTGACTCCTGAATATACAGAAGATGTTCATACGGTTCACATGTTGTTCATATGTCTAATCTTTTTTGTTTGATGTGGTTTGAAGATATACACAAGTTGTTCATATGTCTGACAACTCATGTATCAAAGATAGATTACTTTTTACCTAAATACCCTTTGATATTTTGTTCGCATATGTTAATTGAAAATA